AAACTATTAGGCGAAATCTTGGTAAAATAGCGTGATTGGCCAATGGACTATCGGTATGCAAAATGCACGTGATGAACAGTGTTAACGATGTAGACTCTTAACTCTTCAAGATGAGAGCTCTATGGTCTCTGGCCTGAGATGCAGAAATCAGGATTAGTTTTGAGTAACCAGAAAATTGGTTGCATGTTTTTGAGCTGTCACTACCACACGTAACCAATTGGTATCATCTGAGTCAAATTTTGTGGCCAGCTATGCTCAGTTTACAATACAATTGTTTCCCGCTGCAACAATAACTCTAAAACCCTCACAACATCTAATTTACAATTGAATATCCATCAAAACATTGATAAAAGTGACCAATTATCAGCAATTAGCCTACTGATGTTTGCCTTTGACAAAATTATCGGCTCATTTCTACCGTCAACATACATAGTCATCAAGCTTAATCATTTATCCTTTCAAACATGAATCATTCTAGGGCTCATGAGCCAATATTTTTCTGCCACCTACCTGGTTCCCTTCCGAACAGTCTCATGGACGAAGTCCTCTGACCATTCCTATTAAGCTGCAATATAATAATGCCCCTTTACCTCACCAATGTTCTAAGACTATTTTGGAGTCCTCACCTTATATTTTGCACCTTATAATTGTTTTTTGGTCGTCAAAAGGAATCATTTTTTGCCATATCTGACACAAATTTACAATAATCCAAAACTATTTTCAATGCACTTAATAGTTCAAATCCTGCTTTTCCAAATCACTGTAGCATACAGTGCAAATACTACTCACTAATTTAAATAGTCGCCCTTCAGGGGACCTTTGTTGATTTGTGCAGTCTTTATTCTAAGGGTTTTCGTATTTAAGTGGAATCACTTAAATGAACATGTACACATCAACATTTTTCGTTTATATACCAATCAAATTTCATCTTTTTAGGGTGTTGTCATTATTAAAATCTGATCAAATCATTGTAAATACTCCACAACAAGCTATCTATTAATAATTTGGGTTAATTTCAGGTAAAGTCATCGCTGACATCATTAATCAATTCATTTTCTTTCAGGGTTTGTGATTATTAAAACCTGATAAATCATTGTATACTCCACAACAAATGGTCTACATGCCGTATTGAACTTTTTATAATCCCTAACTAAGTTAGGTCTTCTTTGCGTACATGTAATAAAAAGGTATCTCTGGTTGGTCAGCATTAACCAAGTATTGTTGTACATATGTACATATTGTCTTGTTATATTTTCATATTTTATCATTGCTTGATAATGACTAGAGAAGCCTAGTCGAAACGTCGCTCAGTAATAAGCAGTAATTGTATTCCATAGAATTGTGACCTGTTTTTTTTCCAGTTCAATTACTAAATGCCATTGAAACAATTTATTTACATGTAGAATTTTACAAGCTGGAGTAGAGTGGTATTTTCGAATTACCCAATAACACCCAATAACTCCAAAATAACACCCAATTACTCCAAAATGTTGACTTTGGAAACACAAAATAACAATTTAGTTAAATCTAAGAAGCCTTGCGGCTTTGTGCCCAAATCGGTGTTTCACGCTAACTTGTGTATGTGATTTTTGTTGACAAGAACCTAATGTATGCTTTTGTTGCAATTCGTTGTAATGTATTGTACTTAGTGATTGATTAATTGTTTATTAAAACAGTAATTATATGCATGAAACAATATTATGGTATTTACAGTGCAATAAACTATTTAATATTATAGCTAAATATTATTTATAGGCCTATTTACAAATTGTGTCGATTATCACTTCCGGTCATCTAACACAGCATAATATGACATACCAAATACATGTACTACGATTTTGATAGGATATTTTAAGCACGCAAACAATTGAAAAAAAAACCAAAAAAAACCCCATGACCACCATTTTTTTTTTTATCAGATAAACTATATCGAAAGATATCAATAACCGCGTGCATGATCACTGGCAGTAGAGCGCGACACTGGCGCTCTCACCATCATTTTGGCATTCTACAGGCCCAGACTATGGCCCCGATTCCACGACGGCTCCTGGGTACATTTGGTGACGAGAGCCTCAAATGGAATGAGGATGGACCGGGGTCCCACGCCTCGAACAAGCCTGGAAATAAGGCACCTGTCACAGACAGCGTCGGGCACAGATTCAGACTTTGTCAGGCACAAAACCTCTGGTGCCTGTCATTTTGTCCGGCACTGATTTCAACTGATTTGTCTTATTTATTGATATTATTAATACATGTACGGCACTAAGTTGAAAATGTCAGGTACTATTTCATTAGTGTCTGACATTTTGTCAGGTACATCTAAAACCGTTATTTCCAGGCATGGCCGCGAATTTCGTTCAGGTTATATTTCAGCGTCCTTTCCCCGATGGATCGTGACAAGAAGTACAGGGGCGGATCCAGAGGGGGTGAGGGTGGGTGTCTGATATCATGATTAATGCTTTGCATCAATGAAATTGAATCACGATGTGATCTTATTAATTCATTTAAAAATTGACGTCACACGAGGTGTTGGATTTCTCTCCTTAAAAAGCTCAATGTGTATGTATGCCTACTTAATTTAGAGACGATAATGGCATCATGCATTGTCAAATTGTGTATTGCACTGTATAAACCATAATATTGTTCATGCATATAATTGCTATTTTAATAAACTATTAATCAATCACTAATTACAATACTTAACAATACATTACAACGAATTTCAACCAGAGCATAATATGATACATTAGGACACAGCTCACCAAATATTCCTAAGTGCGAAAGTTATTTTTAGTCTTCCTTCCCCCCCGCTTTTGCATGGCAATTTTTGTCGATTTTTTGGTGTAGAATCAACCAGAACATAATATGATACATTAGGACACAGCTTACCAAATATTCTTAAGTGCGAAAGTTATTTTTAGTCTTCCTTCCCCCTGGCTTTCGCATGGCAATTTTTGTCGACTTTTTGGTGTAGAATTAAAGAAAAGGGTTTGAAAATACATTTTCTGTCAGGTTTTGGTGAATATTCATGATTTTGAGGCGGAAGGATACAAGAGTTGAGAGGTTGGTCAGGTTGAAATGTGAGGTGGAAAATTGCATGTTTACTGATCTTTACTTCCAGTTAATGTATCTCAAGTTTTCCATGGTGAACCTCATACTTGCTTTTGAGTAAGAGGTTTCCACGTGTTGCTCCATCTGTGGTAGTTCTACCCAACGAAAATTTGGGAAAAAGATAGAGCCGGTCTAAGAGACGAGAATTAACATTAAAGCCAATGGGGAAATCATTAGTGATCTGTAGCTTTTAGTTTCTTGTAAAAAAAAAAAAAAAAATCACATACACGATTTATCTCCCTTCAGGCGAGTGAGCGTCAACCTCCAATTTGGGCACCAGTGAGGCTTCTTAAATTCAACTAAATTGTTATTTTGTGTGTCCAAAGTCAACATTTTGGAGTTATTGGATGTTATTTTGGAGTTAATGAGTGTTATTGGACAGTTATTGGGTGTTATTGGGCAGTTATTGGGTAATTCGACATGCCGTTTTTTTCATAATGCAGCTTAATAGGAACAGACAGGAAAGTTCAGAGAACCTTGTCTGTGAGAGACTGTTATGAAGGGAACTACCACCTATCTTACATTTTAATTAAGTGGTAATGTATTGGGATTGGGGATATCTCCATGGCTTTTCTCTGTGTTTATCCTAGCTCACTGCATGCAATGAGGGCAGTGAAAACTTTATTACGGTCCTGAATACTGTACTGTAGCCTAATTTGTTGAATGAGTAGGACTAATCTAGTTCCTTTAGGAACTGTCTCTGATTGGACGATGTCCGCTGACAGTTCCTATCGCTTTCTATATAGCTGCAGTATGAAAATACGGTAAAATACCGCTCTTCCGCCACCTCTGTTCTCAGACTATTTTGGAACCCTTACTGTCTATCTTTCACTGTGAATGTTTAAGTTTTCGCAAAAGGAATCATTTCTGGTAAGGATTCGAAAATAGCCTTAGACAAAAGGCGAGGATGAGCGGTATTTTCATATTGAAGCTATATAGAAAGCGATAGAACTGTCAGCGGATATCGTCCGATCAGAGACAGTTCCTAATGTAACTAGGCCTAATCGTAAATACAGACCAATAAGCTGAGGCGATATATTGGACAGTTATATGTAGGTTTATATATATGTAGGAGGGTGGGGGGTGGAGGTATTTTTATTATCTGAGAATTGAGATGAATTGCCAATTTATTTCTAGTGTAGGTAGGACTACAAGTAGATAACAAACCTCATCTCTCAACCCTCCGTGTTTCGAGATAAGAGATGGTGCTATAAAATACTTGCACATAGCACAGCCCAACGCAAATCACATCGGGCATCAGTAAGCAAAATTGACAATATTTTTAATCAAAACGACGATTGATTATTATAATATTTCTGTCACATCCAACTGTAAATTTAATTAGTCAAAATAGTATAAAATTTTAAACGGGAGATGTAGGCCTATGCCTATGTCAGATAAAAACAATGCTTCATTAATTTAAATGGGAATATTTGGAGTTAGGTGATAGTTGTGCCACTACATTGGCCTCTGTAAATTTAATTAATCAAAATAGTATAAAATTATCTTATTTTTAAGATGTTATGCATTAATAAAGAAACTGAGTTTGCCACTTAATTGGAACCGGAACTAAAGACACCCAATCGTTGCTAAAAACAAGCACATCAGTACATCTCAACTTAGCTACGTTCTCGTAGCTAGACTACAAGTTGATATAAACTGAAGTGGGGACACTAAGAAATCAATATTGGCCTTATGCAAATTTTATGAAAATCGATGAATAAGGAACTGGCACAGAAACTCAACACACAGCTTGAGCTTCATTCATTGAAATTTGAAATCCAGAATCAGAGAAACAGGTGATTGATCGTTGGCACTTTGCAGTGCACAACAACAATTCTAATACCTGAATAAAAAAAAATATATAAATGAGTAAGTGCAAACAAAACCTGACTCTGTCCCTGACACGAATCTTTCGTTATATTAAAATATATGTCAAAATCTTATATCTGTCATCACATGTCACCACACTGAACAAATTAAAAGGAAGTAAAACAAGTGGGTTATCTTTTCTTGATTCTAGAATAGAGTACTTTCCCTTAGACCACGGTACAGAATCGGTTGTCTGATATAATTTTTATGGGCCAAACTATCCTCAGCATTATGCCAGCATTGGCATTTCAAGTAAATTAAAGCAAGTATATAATTAGTAATTTGATGAAAATTCTCTCGAAATAAGTTTTATTCACAATAACTGATCTTTCTTCTGACACTAGACTTCATACTTTCAAATGGTGTCCAGTTATTGTTTTTTTTCTTGTCCTGAGACTGACTGAGAATTTCGATTTTTTAAAAATTATTTTCGTAAAACTGTCAATTCCTGAAGTCAGATTCATTATTTTTTTTTGTGTGTAAATAAAGAGACCCACATTCAACCACTAAAACAGAACTTAGAGAAGCATTATCAACCCCCAACCCAAATAATTATTTGACTAGAGTACGGTAGATATTTTAATATTAAGCATCCTTGTCGCTCGGAGCGGCCCCTTTTACTGGGGGGGTTTGGGGGCTCTTCCCCATGAAAATTTTGAAAAATGAACCCCAAATATGCGATTTGGTGGCATATTTCATGATTATAATCTCTGTCAAATAATATATCTCATAAATCGATTGATTTAGGCCAAAACCCCGACCTGCAAGTAATTTACAACCATCAACCTGTGAAATTATCATATCGTCATATTATTAATTAACGTATTATCATCGTATCGTCAAGACCAGCTATCATCAAATTTTGCCAAGGCCTTAAAATTGAATTTTTTTTTTGAGTTACGGACCATCGGCAGACGTTTCTGATAAATACCTTGTCTTACGGCGGAAATTAAGACCGTAAAGATGTATATTTAAGCAAATTAATTGAGTACCCTTTATATGTAGGTCTAGTGGAATCTAAGCCCTAAAAGTCAGATATGAACACCAAAACATTACAAACATAGATGTATTTATTATTCTTGAGCACATTATTATTAAATTAATGTAAACATTAAATTTATTTATTTTTCAAGAGCATATTACTATTGAGGTAAATGATTCTCTAATATTTTTATTTAAATAATATTGGTCATGTTATTAATTATAACTGATTTAATATAGATAGTATAACTGCTCTAAGGCCTTCAGCAATTTCTTCTGCTGTATATGGACAGCCCAAAGGAGGAACATGTATAAATGCTGCCTTTCGTTTATCAATGTGTAGTGATTGGTAGTATGCGTAATCACACAGGTATCTGTCAATAAAAAGGTACAAAAGTTATTCATAAGTAACATTCTTATACGTTTCACCACTTTAATCAGTGAAAATTATAAACTTGTAAGATAATGTTTAGTTTCATTTCTCTGTAGTCATGACATCTATGTAAACACTTACATTCAATCAGTTGATAAAGGACTACTGCATGTTCTGGGAGCGTTGGAATGGCTTAGTGGTCTAGAGCATGGTGCTTTGATATCTAGCTGGCCAGTCACCTCTGGCTTTTGGTTGTGGTTTCGATCCTTGGACTAAGTGTGTGTGGCATAGAGATAGATGTATCTTCACAACCTCATGGGTTTCCTCCGGGTACTCCACTTTCCTCTCACATGAAACAAACGGGCAATCACCATGGGTGATTTTCTATAAGCTTACAGTCTTATTTGTTGCTTGGGGATTAGTATTTATGGATTGATATTAATTGTGGAGGAATTGTTCACAGTCTCAAAATAAAAATATTATGTTGAAGCCTTATCATTGAATCACTAAATAGACTTGAACATGTGTAGGTGGATACAGTCACTAAGTGAACTGACAACCCTCCACCACCACAACACACACCTCAATATCTGTGTTACAGATATGCGCAGGGGTACTGAACATGGTTTTCTTACCTTCCTGTATCAGCATAAGATACAACCGTTTTAATTTTAATTGGCATATTATTAACTTCATTACAGATATTTTGCATATCAATATCTGATTTAATACAAGTATCAGCTCCTTCTACACAACATTGTGTTGGTGGACAGCTACCAGATATATCATGTTTATCATAACCATCATTGTGTGCTTGTTGTTCTAATGTAAGTTCTTGAACATAAGTGGATACCCCGACATGAACAACCAACTGAAAATTGATATATGTTTAATGTGTACTGATGTTTTAATTCTTTTTTAAAAAGAAAGCATAGATTCATTCTAGTTAATTTGACAAACACAAGAAAAAGTTACCCAAATTAGTCTATAACCAGGATTGGAGTGGTTCTTACATTTGATCATAAGAAAAGAATATTAACAGAGTATTTAATTTTGGCATACTTACATATTCCCAAGGAACCGATCCAGAATTGGTTCTGACACCCAAAATAATATCATATTGAACATAATTTTTATTAGTACCAGTAGTGGATACCTTTTAGCAGGTACTGTATCCAATTCCACCCCTGAGGTATTGATATGGATCATCAGTATTTCCTGGTAATTTAAAATGTCTGGTCATTGAACTTGTGAACGGTTGGGTGTCCAATTTGTCTAACAAATGCACTTCAGATCATAAGGTCTGTGATTCAAGTGGCGTGGTTTCGATCCCACACTTTTAATGTCAAAGGAGTAGTCACCTGCCTAACATCATGGGTTTTCTCTAGGTATTCCAGTTTCTGCCCCACAGCTAAAAGACTCCTATGCTCAAGCAAATTATTAAAATAAAATTGTAACATGTTAGTCCCAAAATGACCTAGTGGCCATTAAATTCCATTTCTTTCTGTCTCATTGTGTAATACTTTACTTGTATGAGTTATGTTGTAAATTTATTTACACAATTTGGTTCTGTGTGGCAAATACAAATTAATATTTCCAATAACAATGAGTACTTACATGAGGATTATGTTGTTTCCATAATGAAGGTATTATTGTTTTAACAGTACAATATTCAACAGGTATTTCACTTATTATAAGATCTATATCATCTGTTAATCCTAAGCTAGCTAATTCTTGTACGGAAACCCAACTAGCATTTACACTGTGACCATCGAATGGACCAAATCCTGAAAAATGTGAAGGTCATTTTCGCTAAAACTTGTATCCCAAAAATTATGAGGAAGTATGTTGGTATCCACCACGTCTGCCCATCAGAAAGTCACAGGTTTCGAGAGAGCTTTTTTAAGAGTTACTGGGATTGTTTGATTAGTCATAAGGATTCTTTGCACATCTTAATCAAATCAGCTAGTTGTCATATTTGTGTTGCTTGAAAGCACTGATTTTTTATAACTTTCAAGTTTATATGATCCTTAAATCTAATCTAAAATAGTAGTTATAATATAATATAATATAATATCTGAAAATGACTATTTACTGATTAAAATTTATAATGGTCAATCAGACTTTCAAAGCTATAACTGTAAGTGGGCATTGTCAGATTCTTGAAATAGGTAACATATTTCATTCTTAACTAATAATGGTTTTATTCATTATCATTAAATATACTGTATTTAATTGTAGTTAGTTCAGATTTCTTAGTATGTACTTTCCAGTCTTAAAGTTACATGTAGGCTATGTACGTGTTGAAAATAGAAATAAAGTTGGAAGTTTACCTGTTACTATTACAGTTTTTTGTGACATCCTATATGTTATTATTACTTCAAATTGGTTTATCTTATCTTACAATGTCCCAAATCTTAACAAAATTTGTTCATGCGTATTGAGCAGCTGTTATTTCTAAAAAAGAGTTGCCCCCCTTTATCTTAATAACAAAGTTTTTGTAACTTACTTTAACTTCAGAAAACCAGGATAAGAAATAGATTTTAACAAGTTATATAAAACTATGCATGATAATATTATTTAAAGATTTTTGATCACACCATAGTTCATAGGGCTTGAATGATTTACTAGTAGATCTAGACCAAAGTGTTCTCCATTTATTCAAACAAAGATTCGACTTCAAAATGATACCTAAATGAAAGTGCACGTATGTATTTCACATTTAGAGCAAATTTAAATGCATACAAACACAGGTGAAACGTTGAGTATGGATCTAAAAGTATTGGCAGCCACAGTGGCTAAGTGAGTAAGACACTAGCTCGCTAGCATGGAGGTCGCGGGTTCAATCCCCATGTTGGCCGAGAAAGTTCATCAGGATTTTTTGATGTGGTTTCCCCTTGTCAGTGTTGCAAGATGGAGGGCCTGACAAGGACAGCTGTCTAGTCGTTCAGATGGGACGAAAAACCAAGGTCCCGTGTACACATTGGCATGCACGTAAAAGATCCCCTGGCTTTTGGAATTTGATATACGAGTAGGCTGTAGCGCTGCTGTCTGGGCTAAATTTCCCTCATAGCACACTGTATGGCGTATACCCATCTTCATTATCCCAGTCGGAGAAGAACAGTAGGGCGTTAAACCCCATTCCATTTCAATTCATTTCTAAAAGTATTGTTTATTTAGATAATGTTCACTTATTTATCTATAAGGAAGAGTTGAACTTTTTTAGACCAGAAACCAAGCTCCAAGCACTACTCACCTTGTTTTTTTTTCCTGTTTTCTTTGAGGCAACACTCTTTAAAATAAAGTCCCAAGACTCTGCCAATTCAAGTACGATCAACATCAAACTTGGTATGCTTGTTCCTTTGAAAATTGTGCATCTATTCACAGACTTTTGATATGATGCAACAATTCCAAGACGGCTCCGATGATGTCATGCTCAGTTACTGTTCTGTATATGTTGTAGTACGCTTGTACTTGTTTATTTTTTTTAATTATGGATCATATAATAAATTTTATCCAAGATCTATGATGTAACAGGAATGTTTTGGTACATACTACATGTAGTAATTTTCCTTTGTATTTCATTATATTCACATTTAACAGATCAAATATAATTTGTATAAAAGAGGTTCCATCTTAAATTTGCTTCTGCAAAATTGAATTACACCACACACTTGTCTTCCAGTTCCACTCTAAAAGTTTAAGTGTTAAGAAGAGTAAGGATATAATTATGTAGTATGTCACAGTGTCTTTATAAGACCAGGTGTTGAAGTCGACATTTTAATTACAGGATATAAAAGAAAATCACTAAAATTTATTACAGTCTTATATATATCTATTGTATTGTTGATATTACATAGACAAATTGGATTTGGATCACATGTCCTTTGTTGTTTGGTATTTGATAGTATCATTGTAAGATGTTAATACCAGTCGTAATTGTTGTTACTGTGATTTACAGTCCTAAAAATTGCTTTATCTTAAATTCTTGGTTTCATTTTACCATGGATTAGTTTCAACCAACACCTGAATTAGAAGTGAAGTCAAGATATTAATTTTCTACAGTGTCATTTTAAAAAGGAATTATATCTTTGGAGATATTTGACAGGCGACAAAAAATATAATTTTTGATTTGCCATGATTTGAATATTTTGTTATGTCAGAGGTGTAGATTGTGTGTTAAGCTTGAGACAGATCTGTCAATCCATCACTGAGATATAGATGTTTTAAGATTCTGTATGCCTTGTATGCTTTGATCTAATAGTAAGTACAGGAGGACTGCACCACACATAAACAAAACCCATAAAACAAACCTGCGGACGAGACATAGAATATACATACACATATATTGCAAGTAATAAACAACAAACGTATCAAGTCGATTAGACAAATTCATGTATTATTAATAATGTGGATTATGAACTTTATATCAATTTCATTACATTTATTTTCTTATTAAAAGTTTTAATGCATCTTATGCTATGTATTTTCAAAATTGTATACTAGTTCTGTGACTCCAGCAAATTGAGGCTGTCTAGCTAGGGAACAGTAGTTTTGAGTGGTTGCGTAAATGAGCTACAGAACTCAATGTAAAAAATATCACTTTTCTCTTAATTTTTTCCGGGAACCTGAGTAGTCAATAATTACATGTACCTTGGGCTAAAGGATTATGATACTTGTAGATACATGTATGTATGGATAGATTAATAAATTGAAGAATACAGAAACATGTTGTTATTGTTGAATTATTTGGGTGTAAATACTGCAGTCTATCGGACTAACAGGTTGTCGGACCATTTGCCAGTTGTTTGTCTGTGGCCATGAAAGTGATCACATTATTTCCCAGGATAAGTCATTTTATTGTAATTAATAAAGCAATTTATTTTCATAAAGTGTTTTAATAATTACTGTAAAAGTAATTAGGCTAAATGGAAATTCTAAATGGGAAGGAATTGTAGCAACCTGGTAGTGCAAGGGGAGGAATGTGATGTGTGTCTCTGAGAACCACTGCTTTAAAAGAGACAATTATTGTAGATATTTTGTGCCGTGAACGAATACAATTGAAGCCTTCAGATATTTGACAGGTGAATATTCTTGGATTTAATGTCAAAACATTTATCTGTTATCAAATTTTAATCTAGTTTTCAACTATACTTAAAGTTGTGTGAAGTCTTTTATCAATATAATCTTTGCTCAAGAAAGACCCATCAGATCAAATCCCTTTCAAGAAATCCCCATGAGTGCCATCAAAATCTCATAAATCATATATTATTATAAAGTCTGCTATTTTAAACAGGGAAATCTTGATAAGCTATGAATATCTTTAATGTTAGGGTTACCATAGTGACATCACAGCAGGAGGGGTGAAGTTAGGGACCTTTTGTTGTTATTAAGGTTGAAGAGCATCTTGGAAAACACCCATAATTCACCATGTAAGTGAACCCCAATATTAAGATACTAGCAAGTTACTAAGTAAATCATATATCCTTAGATTTATATTCAGTTTCAGTATACCTGTGTAAAAGAGAAAATGTTTAAAAATCTGGTCACAAACAACATCAAAGTGACAAGTTAGGTGTCACAAATGTTTTTGTGCCAAATATAGTACAGACTATACAGTTCAAACTGGTGTGAAATTAACCTATTCACAAAGCAAATTGGATTAAAATCTAATTTGAATAAATTTTACCAAGCGAAAAAATTTCCTCTCTCTGATTTAAAACTGACATTTTGTGAAAGGCTGACCAGAAATGGAAAATGAAATATTATAAAAGAACCGACTTTGCCTGAATGATGTCTTTATTAAGATATGAAGGTCTGTGCTGGATTTTTCTCTAGGGGGCCATTGTATTTCCTCAATGATTCTGTCTAATTCGATTTAAACTAGTAAATCTTGATGAAAGATATCATCACCATAAACTCCATGAGAATGACTCCATTTCAATACGGCTAATACAGCAATTATGTCCTATTCAAAATCTGAAAGAAAATTTCCCAGTTTTATGAGATGGGAATGTTTTTGTCTGTTGATTTTGACTTGATTATTTTCTGAAAAAGAATAATATGAATTAGAGTTTGTTGGGACATCGATCTCCTAATATGGTATTGTATTGTTTCCCCCTTTACAATATAAAGTGTTTGCAGAAAGACCACAAACAATGGTGGTAGCTAAGCATACACAAATTTTTGCTGGTTTAATGAGTACAACTGTCTAATTCCATATTAATAAAAAATCTTGTCGCCTCGCTATAAATATAGTAAATAAATGCTCATCAAGCCAGAAAAAGAATGAATGTCTGCACCTTCAATTTAGTAATGTAGGTCTGACTATTGAGAGTTCAGATACATGTATCACAAAATTGTCGCAAAAATACAGAAGTAGAATGAAAAATATTACATAAAATGCGAAGTCCCCCCAAATTAGGGGGATGGCTGAATGGTTAGCACGTGCGCGCTGTATCATAAGGTCTGTCATTGAGTCAACTGGCGGGGTTCCGATTTCCCGGCTGTACATGACAAGGAGTAGGGTCACCTGCCCAACCTCGTGGGTTTTCTCTGGTTTCCTCCCACGTTCTCAAATTTTAAACCCTCACCGCTCCTATTATTGTTTTACCAATTACATTTAAACCACTTTCTCTTTATTTAGTGTTCTTGAAGGTGGGTGGGGGAATAGTCTAACATATGTATCTCTCTCTCTCTCTGATATAGTAAAAAACCAAATGACTGTATATATCTTATAGTCGTATTCAATTTAAACATTTTATTATAATGTAAATCAATGAGGTTAAAAATGATGGGTACATACAAACGGCAATCCTATCAAAAAACAAACAAACATGCGTGACAACGTGTGTGTAGCTGTCAGAATAGGCTGGGATTTGAAGCACTTATTGATTGTAGAGGTGTGATTTAATTCCTTTAGTCGCCACGACTAACACCTGTACTGATAAGGTAATCAGTAACACTGTATATTGACTAGACAACACCTACTATATATATCATCTGTATATTCTTTACATATTTATAATATCTCAATCACACCAAATATCATAAAATAGCAGATAAATTGGCATCAGGTTTTAATAACTATAGTGTACATGTGGCACTGTGAATGTGCAATAAAGTGAGAGAGAGAAATGATGTTTAACTTCCACTTAACACAAGTAAGGTCATTTTCGAACTAACATAGTAGCCTATATCTAAGTCACCATTTTGTTTGCTTTGAAGAATACCCGCTTCCCACTGGTTTTGAAGAATATACCCTTCCTACTAGTTATAAAGAATATGCCCTTCCCACTAGTTTTAATGAATACCCCCTTCCCACTAGTTTTAAAGAATACACCCTTCCCACTAGTTTTAAAGAATATATACCCTTCCCACTTGAAGAACATCCCCTTACCACTAGTTTTAAAGAATACCTTTCCCACTAGTTTTAAAGAATATACCATTCCTACTAGTTTTAACGAATATACCCTTCCCAGTAGTTTTAAAGAGTATACCCTTCCCACTCGTTTTAAAGAATATACCCTTCCCACTAGTTTTTAAGAATATATAATATGCCCTTCTCACTAGTTGTAAAAAATAGACCCTTCCCACTATTTTTTACAAATATACCCTTCCCATTTGAAGAATATACCCTTCCCACCAGTTTTAAACATGTACCCTTAAGAACATCCGCCTTCCAACTAGTTTTAAAGAATATACCCTTCCCACTTGAAGAACATCACCTTACCACTAGCATTTAAAGAATATACCCTTCCCACTAGTTTTAAGGAATATACCTTCCCACTAGTTTGATTATCTAAATTATGTGTTTAAAAACAATTTAAATCCCATTTTGTATTTTGAACATATTAAATTTAAAAAAATAAAGAACTATTGGAAGATGGTCAAGTAGAGGCAAGAGACTGGGTTGCTTGGCAACCTTTGGTAATTTTTTTAAAAGTGAAATTGGTCTCACACACCAATTTAAAAGTAGACCTGTAAAATATTATTTACTTACAATAGATTTACTTATTGGTCAGTGTACAAATAAACCATCACAGGTCAAATGTGAAATTATCTCTCTAGCTGTTGTAAATCAAGTGAAGATTAATGTTATAGAGATTAAGTCAAGCAAGTTTATAGATTTAATAACTACTTTAATCTTTTATAACTTGCCCCACTTGGTCATCTTATCTATATACATGTACCTACCAAATGAATATCCCCTCCATTATACATTTACTCAATATTGTGTACCCAACTTTTATTTTTAGGGACATTTTGATACTTTTTTTTAAAAAATGGAAGAACCCCAATACCTAAACTCTATGATGAGTTTTTCAATTTTATTGATAAAAATACTGATTCCAATACATAGCCTCAACATCATAGTGATCAGGAAAGTCTACAGAACTTCTATTTCAAAAGTTCATCAGGGGGTGGGAATTGGGAGAGTACAGAACTTGTATTGCAAAAGTATATCAGAGGATGGGAATTGGAAGAGTACTGAACTTGTATTGCAAACGTTTATCAGAGGATGGGAATTGTGAAAGTCTACAGAACTTGTATTGCAATAGTTTATCAGTTGGAAAGTCTTCAGAACTTGTATTGCAAAAGTTTATAAGAGAATTGGAAACGATAGAGAACTTTTATTGCAATATTTTATCAGAGGATTGGAAAGGTCTACTGATAGAATTTCTGGGGAATGCTCACTAGTCCACGGGTTCACTAGTCTGCAGGTTCATTAGTCCACCGATAGCTATTATTAGGGGTTGGGTTAGAGTTAAAGTGCACTAGTCCACGGTTCATTAGTCCACCGATATCTATTATTAGGGTTAGGGTTTTTGACTAGTGGCGGACTAGTGAACCCGCAGACTAGTGAACTCCTCTCCCAAAAATCCTCTCGAATTTCTATCCTATATCAGATTATACTTTTATTTGATTCCATATTATACTGTATCAATTTCACATCAATAAACACTTTTTGAGGATTAAAAATACATTATTTAAGATTTAGATAAAGATCTGAGTATCCGATGCCATCAAATGTTGATTATGGTCTTGTTTTGTTACTAAATGTCTAAGAAGACCTGCAATGGGCAGATTTAGCTCTTGCATACCAGTAATGTATATTTAAGTTCTGGTTGCAAATCTTAATGATACTCAATATATCTCAGAGTTGTTCAAATTCTGTCTTTATAAAGGTGCGGCCATTTCTGATGACCTTTATGTTCAAAGTCAAAGTAGAAGAAAAGTGATATTTAAGATTACTGAAGTGATGATATGTGTCAGCTCGTTATATAACATGATGGTACATTGGTTATATGATAACCTAGCTAGCTTGCACCTTTTTCATTATCTCATAAAGTTATCTCAAATAAAGCTCAATAGTCATTGAAATACAACTACATTTAATTGTTATTTGTTGTATTGATAAGCTTTTACTAGCTAAGAATGGTGTTGTGCATGAGGCAGGCCATACTTAAATTTCCTTTGCACACATGGTACCTCAACTTACGTCTGAGGTGTTACACTTTAATCTGGACCTTTCTGATCACATATAAATATTGATTATTTGCCACAGTATTTCTCAATGTATCTATGTTTAGAACACCTGATATCAATTTTGTATTTAAACAGCTTGCAAGGTGATTCCACCAGCATCCATTGCCTGGAGGTCATGTTATACCAAAAAGCAATGACATGTCAAATTAAACTACATGTATAACTCTGTGAGTTGTGAAAGGTGTCATGCATATACTTAATCTTTTGTGGTTAGGATGCTTCTAAAATTTTACCAGAATTTATTCAATGTAGATTACCATAACAATTTAGGCTAATATAAATGTTTATTTTGTCTAAAAAAATCATATCTGTGTAGAATCCTTATGTATAAGTGTATTATTTTTAAACTGTGAAAACATTATGTAAGGTTTATGTGGATAGGATATTTTTCAGTATGAAAAATTACATAGCACATTAGTAATGTTGTACTGTACTCAACATTATATCAATTAGTGTAGAGTTTATCCCTCTGTTTTTCTCTACTATATAGTGTGTCAAACACCTGGTAATTTAGGATAGAAAAAGGCGGGGTAATTGCTCTTTAATGTAATTGGATCTAAAGATGAGAAGTTACTGAGTGGCAAAATAAATAGATAATTTTATAGAATTTATTGAAAGGTGGAGGTCAAAAACCCAAAATGAGTTATAGCTCAATTAGACAGGTGTCTATTGGCCTATATATAAGTAAATTTATCATATTGTAAGTATATAATCTCCCATCTTCCTTATATCTTATCCTTTCATGTTTTCTACCTGATACATGTTTTACATCTATTGCTGGAAACTTTTAACACTTTTGACTTTTTCTTTGGCACTGTGCTACTAAAAAAATCATTGGTTCTTTCCCAAGAAGTAATTTATTTATAAAGGGGAAGCACCAATGACCCAAAAGAAATGAAATGAAATGGGGATTAGGGTCTTTAGTATATATTCTATATTAGTCTTAAATACATGTACTTCCAAACATTATATACTTTTCAAAAAAGTAGGGGATATTGAAATGCAAATACCTATGCAGGTTGCGATATGATAAATAGTCATGGACATTTGACATGCTTTGAGAGTATGATCACAGATGAAGAACTTATCGCCCCAACAAAACCACTGAGCTGCATATGCGACATGCAATAGCGCCATACACGTGGGAGGGGTTCATTGTCAAATTTGACACTTCAAGGAAGGGATGATGAAAACTGCCGCGTGCTGGTTTATCCATGTTTGCTTTCCTATCGGTACTTGCATAAGATTTACTGTTTAGCATATCTTTGCAAGAGGAATGGATCAGATTGCCCCAAATCGTGATTGGACGGTTGATTAGGAGCATGCCACAATGAATTGCTGAATGTCTGAGGATTGGTGGAGCAATTACTCATTATTAAGACAAAAATCAAAAACGTCCATTTTCACTTCTGACAGTGTACATCTTTGCG